GGGGGGGGGGGGGGCTGTGAGGGGTGCCTGGGTGGCTCAGTCGGTTAAGCGGCTGACTTTTGATTTTGGCTCAGGTCACGATCTCAAGGTTGTGAGACTGAACCCGTGTTGGGCTCTGTGCTGAGTGGTGAGTCTGCTTGGGATTCTCTCTCTAGGTGTCTCTGTCCCTCGCCAGCTCTCTCTCTTTCTCAAAACAAATAAATAAATAAAACTTAAGAAAATAAATAAATTCTTTCTGAGGCAGGTTTAAGCTTCTCATTTAAAAGGCCCTACCATAAGAAAGAAAGTACCGAGGAAAAAAGTACTAAGAAATGTTCTAGGAAGAAAAGGGGGAAATCCCACCACAGTCACCACCAACCATAAATCATGAGATTACATATAGAGTCCAGTATACAAAGTCATCAAGAACAACTTAAACTTGATTTAAAAAATACATCCAGGGGCGCCTGGGTGGCTCAGTCGGTTAAGCGTCTGACTTCAGCTCAGGTCACGATCTCGTGGTCCGCGAGTTCGAGCCCTGCGTCGGGCTCTGGGCTGATGGCTCAGAGCCTGGAGTCTGCTTCCGATTCTGTGTCTCCCTTTCTCTCTGCCCCTCCCCCGTTCATGCTCTGTCTCTCTCTGTCTCAAAAATAAATAAAAACGTTAAAAAAAAAATTTTTTTTAAAAACATCCAAAAATTGGAGAAAATGATATAAGCTACTATTCTGGACTTTTAGAGGAGATTTTTTATGGTTTTTAAAACCACAATCCACAGCTGGGGGGCTGGGGGGGGGCGGGGCAGGGGGAGACGCAAGGTGTTTACGGACAACCTCATCCCTGCCAGCCTAGTGTCTTCACAATATATTTTCCAAGACCTAGCCTGGAATAGCTTGCTTATTTGTCGTTTAGATGTCCAGACGATTATTTCTTTTTCTCATCTGCCCGTCATGCGGCTAAATGGTAGCCCTGGTGATGAAGGGTGGTTAGCTTTGGTAAAAACCCACTGCAGGCACCTGAAAGGGGAAGTTGCTGAAGCTGAATGCAGAGGTTCCGATGACCACACCGGCCGCAAGAAGTTTGACCTCTCTGCCCACGGAAGCGGGGTCAGTCCGGCCTTCTCCCCAGCCTCCTCCACACAACTCATACTGTTAGCCAAGCAGGGGATGCAAAGATGACCTTCAAAGCGTGCCATCCACAGTTCCTGGGACCAGCCCTCCTTTCCAAAAGTATCACCACCAGTCTGTTTACTTTGAGCGAAGCTACAACTGACTCTAGAATCCTCCCTGGGCACCTATGCCCAGGATCAGTCCCCGGGGAACTAAAGTGGGATCTGTTTGGGGAACTTCTAAAACCACTAGGAGGTGTGAATAGACGCTCCAGCAACTGTTCCTATCCTTTATTTTCACAGGCAAACCTCAAACCAAAGACCAGGTAGCTAAGAACAGCCACAGAGCTATTTAAGGATGTGAAAAGCAGACTGAATCACAGGTAAGCGTCCCATGCAAACGTTCAGAATTTTTAACAATCTGTGCTGGATTTGTTAAAGCTGGAAAAGAATACAGGAATTGTTCCGTCTAACAACATGACGTTCAAACAAACCACTTAAGCAAGGAATCTTTGGCACAAGGATAATTTTATAATAAATGAAAGCCATGATTCATAAATGTCTCTCACCCTAAGAAATCCCAAACCAGATACGTTTGTGGGTTTCCGCATTCAAGCATCAATTTTATTTTAAGTGCCTTTTTATGCATTTGTTTTTTAGCTCACTTAATTCCAGCACCTCACGGAAGCAATTCTTGAATAACAAAGTCCCAGCAAAGCCACCCAGTGTAGGTAAGGTGGCAGCGTGGGTGTGTTCCAGCATTACCTTTCAGGTAGGCCCAGAAAGCTTGAATTATCTCAAAAATCAGGGCTGGGTTGATTTTCCTAGTCCAAAGGGCAGGGTACAGAAAGAAAGCCATAATCCCAAGGTAGTTTGTTTTTAAGCCCGTATTTCTGAAAAATTCCTGCAACCTATCAAGAAAATCAAATGATCCCTTCTGTAATCAAGTAATTATTTTAACTTATAATTAAAAATTCAATTCTTTGGAAATTAAAAGGATGTCTGAATATATAAAAAGTGATAGGAAACATAAAAAAAAACTATATTCAAAAGTAATAACAGGCATAGGGTAAAAATTCAAATCATACAAAATGGTACAAAATGAAAACTTCAATCTTCCCACCCTCCATGCCCCTCAGTCAAGGGATGATGGTCCTGGGCACACAAAAACAAAAATGCCCATTATCCAAACAGGCTACCCTGCTATTTTAGAGTTTTGGGGGGTTTGGGGTTTTAGGTGTTTTTAATCGAACACAAGACAAGGCGAGAGCTAAAAATACAGAAAAATTCATTTATGTCTTCTATTGCCTGGGCCCGCATCGTCAAATCTTCTGGGCCTTTCAATAGTCATTTTGAGAAGAGCTAGAATTATCCAACCATGCCCAATTCTCAGGGCCAGTCTGCTTTCAGAATGCACCGTGTCTCACTCCGCGGCTCAAATACGTGGAAAGCTGATCACAGGGGGCCTTCCATCGGAATGCGGCAGGGTGAGGGGAGTATGGTTCCTACTCTTGGGAAATGAGAAGTCTCACAGCAATGCAGGCTTTCGGGATTATCCTTGTAAAGGACTGGCCGGTATGTCTCAAAAATAACCTTTCTGCAGCTGAAACAAACATGTTTTTCCTTTGAAACATTCCGCAGGGCAGACACGTACAGAGAAATGATGACTTCAAAGATTCGCTTCCAATTTTTTTTTTACATAGCAGCCACTGGAAATACAAAATGAAAAGGCCAGATTCTGCCCTAAAAGGCATACCCTCCAGTGGGACAGAGAGAGAGCTGGCTCACCAAACATCACAAAGTGCTCCTTTAGAACCACTGTTGCCTTTTCTTTCTGACTTTGAAGCATGAGAAAATAATTAGACACGGAAAGAAATGCCTGCTAACGCATACAATTTCATCCCAAATAAGGGCTCTCACACACAAATAAGGTCCTCAGCAAAATTAAATACGAACCACCTACCTAGGGGCTCCAGCAAAACGAATTAATACTGCATACTTGTATTAGACACAGGAGGCTCCAGGGAAG